TCAATAAACTGCTCCAACCATCTAGACGACAACCACAAAAAATCTAAGGGATTGGCTACTCTGATGTCTCCAACAGGACTGAAGGCTCTTATGCGGTTTCGCCTATATTCTACGACACAATGACAATAAGATTCATCTCAAAAGGTGGAAAAGCTACAATTATGCGATGCTATGCTCCCACAGATTGCACTGGCCTAGGGGAGAAGTGGTAATTCTACAAATACCTGCAAACAGCAATAGACATGATCTAAGCTAGATGGCGATGTCATAGTTCTAATGGAAAACGCCAATGAGAAAAAGGGGTAGGACAACAGTGAAACACAACTCTTTGTGGGTCACGAAAGTATTGGTGAAATTAATCATAATGGATAGGTCTTTATGGATTTAATGGCAGGTGGATTGTTGGTAGCACGTGAGAGCGCAAAGATATGTGGAAATTGCACTGCCTTCACTAGATGCTCACCCTTAAAATCCAGCAGACCATCTCAAACTCAAGAAGGTGCGGACGCTAAAAGAAGAGAGTAGGGCTGTTAAACAGAAGGCGAACTAATGCAAAAAACGATGATGAATAACGATAGGATGAGATTTTAACATATTACTATAAGTCAATGTAGTTGAAGATTGAACGATCAATTCATGGTTGTTTTCTCAAAACCAACTTCCCCAATTTTCGCGGAGGCATCAATACACCAATCATCGTCTCATCGGTTGCTGTTCAGAAAGAAGTCAGGAGACAACTGTCAGAAGTAATATTGTGATTCATTATTGTAATATTTGTTCACAGACCTTAGTTGTAACATTGTTTATATGTTGGTGTTACAATAAAGAATCCTCGAGTCGCCATTCAGTGTTTTGGTTTTTGCGTCCGTTATTACTAAGCGTTTCTGAGAAACTTCAAGGAACAGCGCGAGCCCGAGCGTAGCAAGAGCTGGGCATTAACGGTTTACGAGACGCGGCTGACAGTTTCTGACAGTACAACGTCAGTTTTTAAACGGTTTTGGACAGTTGGCACGACTTTGGATAGTCACCGTTCATCTTTCCTGGTGCCGGTCAAGTCCTCTTTGAACAAGCAATATCTGGAACTTTTTTGGAATTGGGTCAAGTTCAACAATGCCTGGGTCAAAGAAGGGATAGAGTGTCTTGGATGCAAACATGAAAGTAAGTCATGGTGACTTGTCTGTTACTTGTAACGATGTGTCTGATGTTAAGCATGACATGGTTGATGTTACTGTTTTGCCGTTCAGGGATAATAGGTACATCAAACTCCCTAAATTTGAACCACGGTGTTTCGATGGAAACCCGGCTGATTATTTACAATTTGTAATGGAGTTTGAGATCATGCTAAGTGGTGTTTTATTAACTGATGAAATGAAGTTAATATATTTGATGAGGTATTGCACTGGAGATGCTTCAAGAGCTATACAGTGCTGCAAGTTTATGAAGCCAAAAGAGGGCTACGACGAGGCTATGAGCATACTACTCAGGCACTCACTGAGTTTTTGGATAATTTGCTGATTTACAAGAATGCATTGATTTCGATGAATTGCATGAGTGACCTCAACTCGGGTTTTATACTAGAAGTAATAGCAAGACGCCTACCTACTCGACTGCAAAGGAAATGGGTGAAGATAAGCTCCCGTATGGAGGATGAAGGTATCGAGCCAAAGTTTGATGATATCCTGAAACTGGTAAAAGATAGCGTCAATCTATCTATGAACAAGTTCGTCAGTCTATTGCATCTCACCCCTAGAATAGAGCAGTCTGAGAGCAAAATGCAATCATTGATGACGAGTAGGCCTCAGAGAGGTGGATATCGAGAAGGCTCCATGATGTCTAGTAATGTATATAGACCTAGTGAGTGTAACAGTTTCGTAGTACATCTTAAACAGATAAGTTGCAAGATGCAAGACAAACACGGTTGTGTTTTACACATTTGCAAGAGGTGCATACAAAGGTGAACTGTGAACCTGATATGTATCCACATATATATATATATATTTATGTGTGTGCGTATGTTGGTCTCTCTTTCTGTTTGCTCGCTTAGTCTGTGACCATTTCACTTGTATGAACTTTTCTCCTTTAACAATGTATATTCCCCTTATATTATATATAATATGAGTGTTTGTTGACAGTCCGTTGCTTGGTGACATATATCCATATATGGTGGTTGTTGACATGTCTGCTATATTTTGCTGTGTATATATGGATCGATACTTCATTATAATTATCCATTCATGTTAAGACTGTCTAATGATTGTTCACACCCTTGTCATATATATTTCGCTCTCACAATTTGTGTGACTTACTTTATACTTTGGTGTGATACCACTTATTGCTTCTCCTGGTGTTTTGGAAAATAGAAGTATCATCGCAAACCTAGTGGTCTTCTGATTTCCGCCTTCTTGCGTCAGGACTATTAGTTTCTCGACCAGTCCATAACAATAATTTAGCGACGAGTACATAACAGAACCAGTGAGCAAGTTCAGTGTTAAGCTAAATGTAAACTCCAGGCCTGACTCCGAATTGTGTGACGATAACGGTGTGGTCAAGAAGTCTGTAGTTGCAAGTGGTAAGCCATCGTTGAATAGTGTCACAGAATAGAGTTACTGCTTCAGAGTTCAGTTGTGACTCCACAAGTTTACAAGGTATTACTAGTCAGAGTGAAGGTATAAAATCTTTAGGGATTTGTGAAGAAGAACCCAAATCATCTACTGCTGTTATTAAAGAGTTTGAAAATGATGAAGTCGACAAGATAGGTGATGGTAAATTGAATATTTGTGATAATGATCATGATACTTCACAGTTGTCTTTGGTTGATCATGATGAAATGAGAGGAATGCCTACTACTACTGAGTTGAATAAAGGTTCTGTACAACTACAACGTGAAGTAGAATTGAATGCAGATTCAGTTGCAGAAGGCATGCATACTTGTCCAACCGTCAGTGTAATTGATCAGAGCAAAGCCCACCTCTCATCAGATTTTAGTGCTAAACCGGAGCTGATAGTAAAAGACAGCAGTGGTGGTAATCTTGCAGTTAGACAACTATCTGAAAGCCTAACAACAACAGCCTCTGATCCACCGTTAAGTTCATCAACTGGTATCAATCAGTCGTCGTTGGTGCTGTCATCCACAATGAAAAAGACGCCCATCAACTCAAGTATCTTGTGCAATGACTATGATAGTATTGGTGCGTTTGAAAAGACGAAAGATACTGGTCAGTTTAGTGAGGATAAGCCAAGTGTAAACGAGAGAGTAATTGTTAAATTGACGTGCACGAATAAAGGCATTTCTAGTTTCAAGTTACTATTTGAATGCTATTATCTTTGGTGTAAATTACTCTGTTTCTACACTTGGTTGATGAGATATGCCGTGTGTTTGTTCGTCATCTATGTTCTACGATACAATGACATGGGCGTGTTGCCATTCAGATTTGAGGATTTAGCTCATAGAAGGAAGTCAGCAAATGAACTCTGCGACGATTTTCCAACCTAGAGCGTCAACCTGAGAAGGGTTGTAGGCGTCCTGCTGCAAGTCCTACAATTCTTCAAAGGGTAGCGCATCAATGAGCAGTCCAATGTGCTCGGTGTGTGATTTTGTACATATGTTCATATTGTATATACTGAAATGATATCATCTGTCATCTAGCTGTTGGTAATTCTGTTTGTTTGCGTGGAGGATTTCATCATGAGCTGACATCAGTTAGAGAACCACTGGAAAACCTGGGAGTACTGGACAGCTGTTTCGTCCTAGTTTGGGACTCTTCATCAGTACACACCCACAGGGTTCGAACTTAGGACCTGCAATCAAACAAAAACCCTACAAAGCCAATACTTGAAAATTAATCTGATGCTCACTAGTGACTGGCCTATTCGGGTAGTTAACCTAGGGTTCTAGTGGGAAGCCGTGACCAGTAGGGTACAGCAGGTTGAAGATGAGGCAGTAACTCATCGAAGAAGACATTGCGAAGTGGTCGCGCTATGTCGTGAATTGGCAGAAGTTATAATTCAAGGACCATTGGATCGGGTCCCAGTGGCTCAATGGTCTACGAGCTCGCCTTCTAACCAGAAGGTCCTTGGTTCGAATCCGGTGGGCGCGTACTGCTGAAGAGTCCCAAACTAGGACGAAACAGCTGTCCAGTACTCCCAGGTTTTCCAGTGGTTCTCTAACTGATGTCAGCTCATGATGAAATCCTCCATGCAATCAAACAAAATCCCTACAAAACTAATATATGGTGATTGACTATTTCTATCTTTGTATTGTTTAAATACTTACTGTTGATTGTTAATATTTCATATATGAATTGCATTAATAATTCCGCTAAATACAAATTCCTGACTTCTGCCCTCTCTGTGTTTTGTTTGGATTCTTCTAATTCGGTCATCTCGAAATACTAATATTGCAAGTACAATAAATTACTACAAATTGGCGTCGCGATGGAGCTAAGTAACCTGGGAAAATTCCCCATTAATGGGTCTCCGCGGGAGATTGCTGATTATTTGGAATGCTTCGATGCGTGGTGCATTTCCAAGAATGTTCGGGATGACAAAATACCTGCTCATTTCATCACTACTATTGGGCTTGATGCATATAGCCTAGTGAAGAATCTGGCGTTTCCAGATAAACCCATTTCTCTGTCATATGACAAGATCCGTGAACTTCTGACAAATCACTTTCATGTGACTACATTTGAGACCAGAGAGAGGGCTCACTTCAACAAACTGGTACGTTCTCCCAACCAGAAGATTAGAGACTTCATTCTTCAACTTCAAATTCAAGCCTCAAAGTGTAACTTTGGAGATCAGCTGCATACTCAACTACGTGATCGTCTAATTGCTGGAATCAATATTCCTAAGTTAGAGAAAGAGTTAATTCAGATTCCTTCTTGTACGTTTCAAACTGCTAAAGATTTATGTATTACATATGAAGATGTCAATAATGAATACTCTGCTCCCACTACGTCAGTATCTGATGTTATGCTTTCTAAAGTCGAAAATACAAGTGTTCATGGAAAGCAATCCAAACTGCCGTCCACAGGTAATAGAATGCAGCCAGAGATCAAAAACATTAAACCGTGTTTATCCTGTGGAAAGTTACATCTACGAAGCACTTGCCGTTTTCGGAGTGCTAAGTGTCACAAATGTGGTAAAGTTGGACACATCAAGACTGTGTGCAGAAGTTCGAATACATATGTTACTGAGAATCCTGATAATTCTTCCAATTTATCTGGTAAAATGCAGTCGATGTCTCTTTCAACTTTTCCCAATACTCAATCTCATCTAATGAGAACCTTCACTACAAGTTCAGGCAAGTCCCATTGTTTTATAATTGATACTGGGAGTACTGAATCTATAATTTCTAAGAAAGATTTACAATCGATTTGTAAGAATGTCCAGATAGATCCTACTACTAGTTCAATTACAGGCATAACTGGTCATAAATTACCTCTTATCGGGGCTACTAACATTTCTTTGAAATCAGACAGTGGTAATTTTGTAAATATTCCCTTTCTTGTTAGTGAATATGGTCCATCTTTATTGGGATTAAAAGCCCTTAGATTGTTAAATGTCGAAATTTCACTTTGTACTGAGTTGTTTGATGAATCTTTGTTCAGGGAATTACTTCTCCAATGTTCAAAGAGTGTAGGTGGTATGAAGATTCAGCCCATCCATCTTGAAATAGAGGGTGATCCTATCTTCCTGAAACGCCGATTAATTCCATATGGATTGCGAGATGCAGTTAAGAAAGAGTTAGACAAGTTGGTTGAGCAAGGCATACTTATGCCAGTTGAGTCTTCAAATTGGGCTACTCCTATTGTTACGCCACTAAAGGCTGATGGAAAAACACCTAGAATTTGTGGTGACTACCGCCTTACACTCAATAGTCGTCTACTACAGCAAAGTTGCACTACTCTAGAAACTGAAGACATTCTCTACAAGCTACATGGCTCAAGATACTTTTCCAAAATAGATCTAAAAGATGCCTATTTGCAAATTCCTCTTGATGAGGCGTCTAGTGCATTAACAACCATTAATACTCCATTTGGATTGTTCAAGTATAAGTTCTTGCCTTTTGGTTTAAAGGTTTCACCTGCAATATTTCAAAATGTAATAAATCAGATGATAGATGGATTAGATGGTGTTGAGTCATACCAAGACGACATTATAGTTCATGGTCCTAATATCGAATTGCATAATGAACGTCTTTTAAAACTGTTCAGGCGTTTATGTGAGAATAATGTTCTTGTTAATCCATCTAAATGCCATTTCACTTTGTCGTCTGTATCATGCTTGGGATACACAGTAGACTCCGAAGGTTTCAGACCTGATGCTAGTCGTTTGGCACCTCTAATTCAAGCACCGTCACCTAATAATATGTCATCGTTGAGATCATGGATAGGTACTCTTCAGTTTTACTCCAGATTCATTCCCAACTTCACTCAACGGTTATCTCCACTTTTTGAGATTGTCTCCAGTAAACAGTTTAAGTGGGAACAACAACATGAGAATATCTTGCGAAAAACTTTGGAGTTTCTTAATAAACAAGCTTTCTTAAGACCTTTTTCATCGAAAGATAAGTCTGTTCTCACTACAGATGCTTCTCCTATGGGTATAGCTGCAGTACTTGAGCAAAATGGACAACCTGTTATTTGTATTTCAAGACGTCTAAGTAAGAGTGAACAAGGGTACTCACAAACCCAGAAAGAAGCTTTAGCAGTTGTATGGGCAATAAGACGCTTGCACAAGTATCTCTTTGGTACTAAGTTTCACATAGTTACTGATCATCAAGCTTTGAAATTCATTTACAATCCAGAAAAATCTTTGAATAAATCATCTGCTGCTATGGTTCAAAGATGGAGTTTAGAACTAAGTGCATATGATTACACTATTGAACATAGATCGGCAAAGGATATACCTCATGCAGACTTCTTATCTCGTTATTCATTATTTGAAAATATTGCTAATGATACTGATTGCTTATTAGTCCAGCCGTTACCGGTGGATCGAGTTCGACTTATAAATGATACTCGGAAATATTACGGATGTGTTATAAATGCAACAAAAAGAGGTTGGAATGTTCAGTGTAAGCGAAGATTTCCAGACTTTTATAAGCGAAGAGATGAGATTTCAGTCCATCCTGAAGGATTTCTATGTCTGAATGACAGAATTATTATTCCTCCAACATTAAGATCTGCGATTTTGGATGATCTACATTCTGCTCATCTAGGAGCTGATAAGATGAAATCATTAGCACGCCTAACATGCTGGTGGCCGGAAATTGATGCTGACATTAACAAAAGATCAAAGAGCTGTTCTAGCTGTTTACATAAAATGTCCTATGGGAAGTCATCGTGGACACCGTGGCCTGCATCTTGTGAGGTTTGGCAGCGTATTCATGCAGATTACTGTGGTCCATTCTTAAATTCATATTATGCTTTAGTTATTGTGGATTCTTATTCTAGATGGCCAGAAGTCATCATTACAGATAGTCCTAATGCCAAATTCACTCACAGAGCGTTGAGAAAGATTTTTAGTCGAGAAGGAATTCCAGATGTCTTAGTTACTGACAATGGTACTCATTTTACGGAGAAGAACTTCAATGATTGGCTCAAACATATAGGTTGTCGTCATTTGTACACAGCACCACGTCATCCTCAGTCAAACGGGTTGGCAGAAAATTTTGTACGAACATTAAAGAGTGCTATAGCATCAATGAGTCCTCAAAATTTTGATGAGCTAGAGAGATGTGTGGATAACTTCTTACTTCAATATCGCAATGCGGAGCATACAAGTACCCGTGAAAGTCCTGCAAAACTATTCAAATCCCGAATTCTCAGAAAGCATCTGATGTCCACGACTTCTGATGTACATTATTACAGAGGGAATGATTATAGACCTTCTATTGGTATCATACTACAAAGAATGGGAAATCGAATGGTGAAGATATTAGACATCGAAGATAATTCAGTTCATAACAGACACTTGGATCAAGTGAGAATAAATGAGGTAGGTCGTTCCGATTATGATTATAATGACTCCGCTACTAATCCCGACTTTGTAGATAATTCAGAAATAAGTCTAGATGATACTGATGGAAATGATATCACAGAATCAGTTAGAAGATCGCAGAGACTGGCAAGCAAACCGCGATATCATTATAAATACGCAAGGAGACATTCAACGTGTGGCGGATGTGGTGATTGACTATTTCTATCTTTGTATTGTTTAAATACTTACTGTTGATTGTTAATATTTCATATATGAATTGCATTAATAATTCCGCTAAATACAAATTCCTGACTTCTGCCCTCTCTGTGTTTTGTTTGGACTCTTCTAATTCGGTCATCTCGAAATACTAATATTGCAAGTACAATAAATTACTACACAATACTTGAAAATTCTGTTTGTGTCCGGACGACTTCCACTTGGATCATCAACCTGAGAAGGAATGTAGGTGTACTGCTGTGAGTCCTGCAGTTCTTCAAGGGTAGTTTGTCGTGCCAGAATCCACAACATTTGAAGTGTTGATTGTACATATGTTTGTGTTAAATAATTGTGTGAGTTCCAATTATTGTAATTGTTGGTTAATCTTGTTTGTGTCCGTACATTCCACAACTTACAATCGTCAACCTGTGAAGGGTTGTAGGCGTACTGGTGTAAGTCCTGCAATTCTTCAAAGGAATTCCACCAAAACATAATCCGCGAGGTTATTTGTACTGTTTGTGTATACGTGTGGTGTGTCTTCTCAATTTGTGATTTTGGATTAATTGTGTTTACTCGTTATTTTCGTACCTTGTTGTTATTACATTATTTTGTTAAAATTTTCGTCGTGATTGCTTCTGAAGTTGTTTCGAGTCTTCTACATCCGTGAATGAATTGATTCATGTTGGAGACAGCAGATGGGTCGTATACATCGGGGAGGCTATTTCTGAGAATGAAATGCATACGGAGATAGTTGTTAGCTGTGGTCTTACACGCCTGGGAGAAAGAGTGTAAACGACTGAGGCTCGCATGCGTCACCGTTACTAGAAGTGAGGCAGAATGAGTGACAAGCGATTTCAGTGGTAGTTAGTAGTGAGTAGATAACAGGATGTGCGTAGAGTATCATGAGGTGCTGCTATGGTCACGTTGCATTCTGCAAGAGTCTTTCTAGCAAGTGGCGATTGTGTTGCAAGATGTCAGGAGGAGGTCTCTGTCTGGAGGCGCAGGTCGTCATTGATGTGAGAGATTGTGCTGTAGGTATGCTTGTAGTGTGTTGGCTTTTCTGTTTGTTTTCCATTTCAGCTCTGTCCGTGTGACCCAGGTTCTCACAATGGCATCCAAGTCAACGTGTATTGGTCGTGATGGAAAAAACGGATGGATCCGATTTTGCCGGGGAGTGTCAATGTAGTTGAAGATTGAACGATCAATTCATGGTTGTTTTCTCAAAACCAACTTCCCCAATTTTCGCGGAGGCATCAATACACCAATCATCGTCTCATCGGTTGCTGTTCAGAAAGAAGTCAGGAGACAACTGTCAGAAGTAATATTGTGATTCATTATTGTAATATTTGTTCACAGACCTTAGTTGTAACATTGTTTATATGTTGGTGTTACAATAAAGAATCCTCGAGTCGCCATTCAGTGTTTTGGTTTTTGCGTCCGTTATTACTAAGCGTTTCTGAGAAACTTCAAGGAACAGCGTGAGCCCGAGCGTAGCAAGAGCTGGGCATTAACGGTTTACGAGACGTGGCTGACACTATATAATATTATAATACATAAATCTTGCTTCACCTTAGTCATGCTTGCTTCCAGAGTTGTTTCGGCTCTTATACCTACATATTGAGACTGAATGATGATGAGGCTAAAATCATCGACTGAGGTTTGGTACTCCTGGGGGCTTAGACCAAGATGAACTTTAGTCGGAAATAAGATCATATTGTAACGATAGAAGACAAGGGTGGGGCAACAGAGCATTTATTGATAAAATCAACAGATATTTATGGATTTTTATGTACCTTATTATTCGTTATTGCTAGCAGAGTGGTAGCGTATTCTGATTGGTTGTTTTCCTGCTGAGGGTTATTCTGTTATCTCTTTGTTGCAGTTTCTTAGATAGTCCGTTGATATATCTGCTAATCGTATCCATCCACGTTAAGTATGCTGTGACTTGTTGTTGGGTTTGTCTTTGTTCTTGTCTTTTTCTCACGACCAAGATCTGGGAAGTAATCATTGACGTAAGTTGCTGTCTACCAATTTTGGTTAGCAGACAGCAGACAGACCACGATATAAGGTGAGACATGTTCTTTAGGCAAAGATTAGTTAACATTTGGCTATTGGCGATGTCAGACTTCCATGGTTTAGGACTGCGCTCCTTCACATAGAGGAACTGGAAGTTCGCTTGCCTGAGTCACCTTTATTTCGACCTAGACAGGATGGGTGACAGTGAGCGCCGATGGTTCACACCTTAAACGCTGACGTGTAGATGACACCAGGCTAAACATCTTCAGCCATGTTCACTACTATAGCAATCGTTGCGATAGATAGCGCTCGTATTACAAAGTGTCACGTTTGAGAATTGACCCAGTAACTTGTTTTCCGGTTGTCTCTCTTGCGGCTGAAGGGTGTGGCGAGTGTCTGTTTGTTGTTTGT